CCAGATATTTGAGAAGAAATATCTTTTGGTCATCTGAATATGTATATTTCTTTTTTTTTAAGTTTATTTATTTATTTTGAGAGTGTGCATGCATGTGCATGTGAGTGTGAACAAGCAGGAGAGGGGCAGAGAGAGAGAGAGAGAAAGAGAGGGAGAGAATCCCAAGCACTGATAGTGCTGAGCCCAACATGGGGCTTGAACTCACGAACTGCGAGATCATGACCTGAGCCAAAGTAGGATGCTTAACTCACTGAGCCACCCAGGTGCTCCCCAAATGTATATATACTTCTGATAAATCGCAATATCCCAAGCCCTTCACATAGGAGTCATAGTTATTTTAAATGTCCTGAGGAATCCAAAATCTGTGTCATATCTGCGTTTGGTGCTGATTCTTGCTCTCGTCTTCAGTCTGTTTTTTCTCTTTCTTTTCTTTTCTTTTTCTTTCTTTCTTTCTTTCTTTCTTTCTTTCTTTGACTTTTAGCATGGCTTGAAATGCAGGATTTGTTGGGTAAAGGGACTGATATAGACATTTAATGTGAGGTCTGATGCTAGTCTGGCTAGGATTCGGACTGGTTTGATGTTTAACTGTAGCTTTAGGTGCCAGTGGCTTTAAGTTCTTCTAGTGTCCTTGTTTGTTTCTTTCCCTCTGCAGTCTTTGACTTTCTCCAAGAGCTTTTTATCTTTTTTAAAAAAAATTTTATGTTGTCTTTTAAATTTTTTATTTTATTGTATTACTTTTTAAAGATTTTTAAAAATGTTTATTTTTGAGAGACAGAGAAAGTGCAGGTGGGGGAGGGGCAAAGAGAGATTGGGAGACAGAGGGTCCGCAGCAGGCTCCAGGCTCTGAGCTGCCAACAGTGAGCCCCATGCTGGGCTTGAACTCATAAACCATGAGATCATGACTTGAGCCGAAGTTGAACATTTAACCGACTGAGCCACCCAGGTGCCCTATTTTTTATTTTTGAGAGAGAGAGTGAGGGAGAGAGGATCTCAAGCAGGCTGCAAGCTGAGCATGATTTGGGGCTTGATCCCATGACCCTGGGATCATGATCTGGGCCAAAATTGAGAGTCAGACACTCAACCAACTGAACCACCCAGGAGCTCCTCTCCAAGAACTTTCTAAAAGCAGTCTGCGCCCTGAAGCTCTTTCAGCTGTAACTTGCTATTGTCATACTGGAGTCTTATTGACTTGGTGGCAAGGGGTTAAGGAAAGGGAAAGCATTTTATAATTTTATGATGAAATCTCAGTATTCTGGCGGGTCTGTGTCTCTGGGCTGTGACATTCACAGGTGTCTCAGCTTTGTCCCCTCTTCCTTGGGTGAGGCAGAAAAGCTAGTAGGAACTGCAGTTGGGTAACTGTCCTTAGCCCCACCCTCCTGTGAGAAAAATAAGGCTCTGGAGAGCAGGCTTTTGTCAGGGAGACTGGTCTGGCTATGTTTTTAAACATTTTTTATTTTTTATTTATTTTTTTTTTTTGCGAGAGAAAGAGAGAGAGAGAGCAGGGGAGGGGCAGAGAGAGAGAGAGGGAGACACAGAATCTGAAGCAGCCTCCAGGCTCTGAGCTGTCAGCACAGAGCCTGATGCGGGGCTTGAACTCATAAACTGTGAGATTACTACCTGAGATAAAGTCTGCTGCCCAACCTACGGACCCACCCAGGTGCCCCAGGGTGTATTTTTAAATGGTTACTTTCCCCTCTCTTCTGCTAAAGACAGGAGGGGACTTTCCTTGGCTCTTGGCCACACTCCTCAGCCTTCACCGATTGGTCAAAATTACAACAAAAGTACCCCTACCAAACTGTGGCCCCAGCAGCTTTGCTCTAGGTTAGCCGATCTCAGCTGTATTTGCCAGTCTGTCCAGATTTGGAGGGTGGCAGTTTGCATCACTTCTCTGCTGAGTTCAAGAAAAGTGGTTGCTTTCTGGTTTGTTCCTGTTGTGAAGGTGGGAGTGACTGACCTCCCCAAACCCTTTCTGGGAGGAAGCTGAAAGTGAAGTTGCTTTTCCTTTGGTTTGTCCTTTAAAACAAAAACAAAAAAACAAAAACAAAACAACAAGAAAAGCCCTCAAGGCATGAGGGCTGAGAGGGCAACAGGGCTAGAGATCTCCATTTGGCCTTTTGGGAAAGAGTGTGTGGAGAGGCAGACCCTCCATGAAGGAAGGGCTTAGTCTGGCTTCATCATCCCTTTTTTAGATTAATTTTTTTAAAAACTTATTTTGAGAGAGAGAGGGAGAAGGGATAGAGAGAGAGAATCCCAAGCGGGCTTTGCACTGTCAGCACAGCCGTGCTCAAACTTATGAAATGGGGGATCATGACCTGAGCTGAAATCAAGAGTCTGATGCTCAACCAACTGAGCCCCCCAGGCGCCCCAGGATTCATCCTCTCTTATTCAGCCTAAGTGCTCCCTCCAGACTCCATCCTCCAACCCCCTGCACCAGCACCCAAGGATCTTTCTGTAACAGAGACCTAACCATAACTGTCTCCTTGCTCAGACCCTCCCCTGCTTGGAAACTCCTGCACCTGTGGAATAATGTACGCAGTGCTCAGTGTGGCCTTCACAGATCCTCATGGGTCACCTTAAGCTTTCCTCTGCCGCCCACCTCCTCTGACTCCTATACTGTATTGGGGTACCAGGGACACCCCAAATTGCTTCCAAGCCCCTCAGCGTGACACACTGCCCTGGTGTCTCTGCCTCGCACTTGCTGATCCCTCTGGAACCCTTCCCATCATGACTGCAATGACTCCACCAGCAAGACCCCGCCTCCTTGGGGAGGCCTTCCCAAAGCCCCAAGTATATTCCTCAGACACAGTGCCATGCTGTGGATCCTGCTGATGCCCCAAGGGACCACTCCAGCAGCCAAATCTCCATCTTACTCCAGGCAGAGGATGCATGGGGCAGATACTCTGTCTCTCCCCCAAGGCTCTGCTTTTGTCCCAGGGTGGGGAGAGGTACCAGATCTCGTTGGTCAGCCCTCCCCATCAGCCCTCCCCAGCTGGGAAGAGGAGGAGGGAAGGTCTGGAAGGGAAGGAGCCTCTGTGCATTGGCACCTACTGTACAGGCTAGGGATGAAGGAATCTGGCTCCGAAGCCACGGTCGTGGGGTTCAGATCCCAAGCTCCATCAAGTATCACCTCTCTGACCCTGGCAAGCTACTTATCTCTCTATGCTTCATCATTGTCCTCCATAAAACAGGTTAATAAATAGGACCTAGCTTAGCTAGAGGGAGGCCCCATGAGATAATGCAACATAAAGAATCCTGTACATGGTGAATGCTCGACTAGTGCCTGCTTGTTATAGTTGCTATTACAGCCACCATGTTGGACAAGTGCCGTGGCAGGTATTGCTATGTCCAGGGCTGATCTCATCCATGCCCTGGCCAGCAACACGGCGATGTTAGTCCCCCTCCATGGAGCCAGGGAAGCACCAAGGTGCTCTGGCATTTGCAGAGCTGTCTGCTTCTTCCCCCTGCCAGGCACCGCTCAGCCCTCTCCTACTCTCCTGGAGAGACCCCCCGGGGGGAGGCCTGGACTGGGGAGGAAGGGAGGCTGTGGATTCAGGCTGCAACAGGCCCGGGCTGGGTGCTTACAGGCTCCTTGAAGGAGGTGGTGGCAGTGACCACGGGGGGTGGGGGACCACACAGTTGGAGTTGTGCCCCAGTCCAGGCTCAGGCAGTGGATCCTGCTTTTCTTCTGTTCATTCTATGCCCTCCATGCAGATGGCGAGGAGGGTCTCCTCATCCTTTTAGGTCTTGCTACAAGCCAGGGAGAGAAGTGTGCAGAGCTGGGGGCTTTGACGTCACATCCATTCACACCAACACCAAAGAGGCTGCTGTTCTGCCTCCACGCTATGTTAAGTCCAAGATGATGCAGCCGGGGTTGTCCAGAGACTGGCACACAGGGAGTGCTTCGTTCCCCTCTCTTGGGCCTCAAGGTTGAGAAAGCCCCTCCCAGCACCCCTGCACTGTAATTAGTCCATCTGCCCCTCACTGTACTGAGGGAAGCTGAATTGCTGGGCGAGGTCAGTTGAGGATATGGAACCTCTGTTGTACATCTGAACAGATACACTACTCCATTATGCTGTGCTCAGGTGGTGCAGTGCGCAACGCACACAACTGCACCCAGCAGCACTGAGATCACCCTCTGAGGGGTAGTCATTTTGGAGCACAGCTGTTGAATCCATCCTCCTGAACTTTGGGACTTCAATCCCTTCCTCTAGCATTTAGGGTGTCCTATTTATTGTTAACCAAACCACCCTTAACCAGTCCCCAGACTCCTTTGACCACTGGCCCAAATCTTTGGCAGTCAAATGCCTTGAAGGAATGATCTGCCTTGCAGAGCCCCTCACCTCCCACTCTTGTTGGCCCCCGGCTTCCCTCCAGATAATTCCTGCAAGGTCACTCCCCAGTTCCATGGTCTCCCTCGGCTCCCCTCCTTCACCTCTCCTGGACATCGTGTGATCAGTGGTAATCTGCCCGCATGCGGGGAACACTGCAGGATGCTCCTGCCTTTCATCTTCTCCCTCTCACCTCAGAAACGTGGTCCTCCCACCCTCAAGCTATGACCAAGTCCTTGCCACCACATTTTGCCTACCCCGAGTCTGGTCCCGTGGGTCTAGTTCTGTCTCAGTGTGGCTCAGAGTCAGAGCCCACCACGGCCTGAGGGGGGCAGACTGCCCAGAAGGGCAGCAAAGCCTGGAGGGCTGTGGGAGGTCGCAGGAACCTTGGCCTTGGGCGTCTCTCCCACCTGAGGCTCCCCTGACCTTGGCGTCCCCAGCCCTGCCCTACCCCCCTACCAGCTTATAACTAAGAGAGGTGCCATCTCTTTCCCCCGTCCCCTTCCGCTCAGCCCCAGGTGACAAACTGGTGGTCCATGACACATTTGTTCGGGCCGCCACACTTTTCTGAAGTTTCAATTAGCTGCTATCATTTAAAAACTAACCGATTTCACTCAGGAATCCAGAATTCAAGTTTCTTTTTGAGAACTCAGAAGATCTGGCCCACCCCAGGCCCGCATTCCTGCATGGTGATAGCCAGAGAGAGCTGGTCTCGGCTGTTCCCTTTCTGTGGGGCTTGCACAGAAACCTGCAGTTTTAACCCTCTGCATTGTCCTGGCCACCCATGTCAGCGGCCTGGCTTCAGAACTGCATCTTGGCATGAGGCCGTCCGTCCTGGGGAAGGAAAAGCCCTTAGGTGTGGGCTTGCGAAGACGGGGAGAGCAGGGCGAGCAGGAAGGCGGGGCGGACAGTGCCAGGTGAGAGCCACGTCCCAGTCTCTCTCCATCACTCTTTATTGCTAGCAGCGTCCCAGGCACCCTGTGTGTGTCCTGTCCTGGCTCAAGCCCACCTCTGGGGGCTGGGCTGCTGCAAATGTGCGGCTTGCGATCCGCTGCTTCAGGCCACCCCACATCCTAGGGGAGGTGGGCCCCGGGGCCTGAGGCTTTATCCAGAGCCTGAGTAAGCAGTGTGGCCTGTGGGCACAGGCTTCCTTACTGTCCAGCTGGCTCAGCCAAATGTGCACCAGGGGGTGGCAGCCTTGTCGCAGTCCAACATGATGTTGAGAACAGTGCAGGGGGCCCCGCCCACAGACAAGGCTGTGCGGGAATCCACACGGTACTTCACGGTGTTCAGGCCTCCCTCCCGGTCCACCTTGAACTGCTCCTGGGGAGGACATGGAGAGAGAGCATGCACTCAGGGCTTTGAGGCCACCGGCTGTCCGCAGCTGCGCCCCACCAGTAAGCAAGAGGGCTGAGATCGTTCAGGTGGGCTAATATGGCTCCTAAAGCAGAGGCTGTTTGGGGGACGGTGGTTCCCGTGTCACAGGTCCACCTGGGACGCTGGCACCGATAGCTGAGGCCCTCCCCTGCTCCCTGCCTGCATGGACGCTGAGGTCTCAGCTTACCCACGTGGCCAGGTGCCCATAGCGGCCACCAGCACAGGGCACACTGCCCAAGCAGAATGCCCAGAGACTGGCCTGGGCCATGCAGGGGAGGGCAGGGCCATCTGGGCCGGAGGAGAGCTTGGTGAAACGCTTGGCCCTGTTGCTTCCCCACATCACCACCTAACCATCCCCAGTCAGGGGACCAGCCAGCACCTGTTTTTGAGCTGCGATGCGCTTCTGGTCCCTCTTCCGCCAGGCTGGGTCATGCAGGTGGCGAAATGTCTTGTACCCAGTTGTGATTCCCGAGGGGCGGAAAAGCTAAGAAGGCCAAAGAAGTTGGGTCAGGCCGCCCTCCTGGAGCCCCGGTCCTCACCGCTAGTCCTCTGGGGTCCCACCGCCTGCCACGGGCCACGGGCAGGGGCCTGTACTGCCATTCTGCAGAAGAGGTATGCCTATCGGGGGCCAGGCTGAGATCAGAACTGGAGGTGTCATCCGTAAGCCCCAGGAATGTCATCTGAGGGCAGGGAAGGGAACCCTGGGGCAGCCCCGATGCTGAAGAGGTGGGGAGCCCTGGGGGGAGTATTACCTGTAGCCCGGCCCCTTTGATGCGACGGTAGAACTCGTCATCTTCGCGGCCCCAGCCCCAGAAGCGGTTGGACATCCCGTTGCACTGACACAGAGACAGGGAGGGTCACTTGCCCCATCCTCCCAGGGTGCTCCCTGGTCTCTGACCACCCAGGAGTAGGCCAAAGCCCCCTTTCTCCTCCTCCTCCCCTGGAGGTTCTAATGTGCACCCAGAGGCTTATAGTTCCCGCAACCTCTGAGCTACTGGAGGACAGCATCACATGCCAGGCCCCTTGCCTGTTCTCATGGGCCCTTGAGTCTGTGTGACACGATTGGTTTCTCAAAAATGTCTGACTGGGGGCCCCTGGGGGGCTCAGTCGGTTGAGTGTCACTTCTGGTTTCAGCGCAGGTCATGATCTCACAGTTTTTGAGTTTGAGCCCTGTGTCGGGCTCCGTGCTGATGGCACAGAGTCTGCTTGGGATTCTTTCTCTTTCCCTCTCTCTCTGCCCCTCCTCTGCTCTCTCTCTCTCTCTC